TGTTCTCAAGGAGCTCACAGTCAGATATACAAGCAGGCAAACACACAGATAGATGATTTTTTCTTTTTCAATAAACTTTTCATTTTAGAACAGTTTTAGATTTACATAAAAATTGCAAAGATAGCACAGAGTTCTATACCCTTCACTTATTGTTTCCCCTACTGTTAACATCTTACATTAGTATGTTACATTAATTACAATTAATGAACTAATACTGATACATTATTATTTAATAAAGCCAGACTTTATTCACATTTCCTTATTTGTTACCTAATGTTGCTTTTCTGTTCCAGCGTCCCATATAGAACACCACATTACATTTAGTTGACTGTTTCTTTAAGCTATTCTTCCCTGTGACAGTTTCTTACATGACCATGACCATTTTGAGGAGTACTGGTCAGGTATTTTGTAGAATGTCCCTCAATTGGGATTTGTCAGATGATTTTTCTCATGATTAGACTGGGGTTTTTGGTTTGGGGGAGGAAGACCACAGAGAAAAGTGCCATTCTCATCACATCATAACAAGGGTACACATCAATGTGACTTATCATTGTCAGTGTTGACCTTGATCACTTGGCTGAGGTACTGTTTGCAAGTACCTCACTGTACTCCACTGTATATTGTATATTCTCCACTGTAAAGTGATTCTCCACCCCACCCCACCCCAGTTGCACCTTTCTGTACTGTACTCTTTGGAAGGATGTCACCATGTGTAGCCTACACTTAAGGAGTAGGAGTTACTCCATCTCCTTGAGGGCAGAGTATCTGCATAAATTATCTGAAATTCTTCTGCATTGGGAGATTTGTCTCTTCTCCCATATTTGTGTTTATTCACTCATTTATATCAGTGTAAACTCATGGATATTTATTTCATACTTTTGACTCATAATCCAATACTACTTTATTTATTGCTCAAATTGTTTCAGCTTTGACCATTATGAGTTCTTTCAGTTGGCTCCTGTGTCCCTTTGACATACCCCCATTATGGGTTTTTTTGTTTTGTTTCTTTTTTTAAAGCACTTTCTTACTTTCTGGCACTTTAAGGTGCTCCAGGCTCATCTTATATACAGATTGAGTATCCCTTGTCTGAAATGCTTGGGACCAGACTTATTTCGGATTTTGGAATATTTGCAGAATACATACCGTTTGAGCATCCCTAATCCAAAAACCCCAAATTCTCCAATGAGCATTTCCTTTGAGCATATTATCAGTGCTCAAAAAGTTTCAGATTTTGGAGCACTTCAGATTTCAAATTTTTGGATTAGGGATGCTCAGCTCATATTTCTTGTCACAGTCCTAGAATCAGCCATTTTTTCAAGGAGCCCTGGTTCCTTTTATTGTGCCCTCTCAGCTGACAGAGGAAATATGGGTGTATACTAACCCATGTATATATACTTGTCCATAAGTATTTCTGTGTGTAACCATCTATATCTTTATAAAGGTAAACGTGGGTTCGTAGTCATTTTTCAACTCTGATCCATTGCCATCCATGATCAATTACCACTGATCCATGGATCAGTCTAACCTTCTCCCCTAGCTTATCTGTAAACTCCTATGCTAACAGTGAGAAACCTGGCTCCCACCATCCATTTACTTAGTTGTTCAATTCTTGTATATATGTATTGCAGCTACCAGAATTGTTAACCCATACCCCTGTGGGAAACAACTGTATCAACTAAACTAGAGTACAACACTTAACGTAGTTTCTTTTGCTTTTAGTCTTATGGACTCCACTTATTTGCTAGGTTACTTAGATCAGCACCTTTCCCCCCTACTCCCTTCAGTGAAGGTTTTTCATACATTTGTAATAGTTAGATTGTTTTGTGATGATTTGAATATAGTTTGTTAAATGCACTGGTAGAGGTACATACATAGGGAAGCACTGAGGTAGAACAACTGATCCAGCAGGGGGATAGGATAGGGATGGAAGGTATCCTAGAGGAACCTAAAGTGAGCCCTGAGCTATACCTTAAAGTATGGTCTCCAGACCAGAAGCATTAGCATCACCTGGGAACTTTATAGAAATGCAAATTCCTGCGCCACACTACAGAATCGGCAAATCTGATGTTGGGGCCCAACAGTCAGTATTTTTTTTTTTTTGAGACCGGCCGCACCGCGCTCAGCCAGTGAGCGCTCTGAGCGCACCGGTCATCCCTATATAGGATCCGAACCCGTGGTGGGAGCGCTACCGTGCTCCCAGCGCCGCACCCTCCCGAGTGCGCCACGGGCTCGGCCCCCAACAATCAGTATAAACAAGCCCTTCAGGAAGTTCTAAAGAAAATTGAGAATCACTCACTGTCTTAAAGGATGAGTTCAGTGAGGTCAACTTGGTGAAAGGAGAGGAGCACATTCCAGGAAGAGGAGGGTGGTGTGAGCGTAAGTTTAGTTGGGACACAAAGTAGCATGATGGGTTTAAAGGATTATAATAAAATATTTGAGGCAGGAAGTGGCAAGAGCGAAGGCCACAGCGGTCAGCAGTTGCTGGCTGTATCAGGGAGGGCTCGGAATGCCAGGCTAAGCAGCTTAAACTTTCTTTTGTAGACTGTGGGTATACTGAAGAAATTTTTTTTGGTTAACATCTTTATTGAGGTATAATTAACATACCATACATTTAAGACTGGCCTGTGGCTCACTCGGGAGAGTGCGGTGCTGATAACACCAAGGCCATGGGTTCAGATCCTATATAGGGATGGCCAGTTTGCTCACTGGCTGAGCGTGGTGCTGATACCACCAAGTCGAGGGTTAAGATCCCCTTACTGGTTTTTTTTTTTTTTAAAGCTGACAACATACCATACATTTCACCCATTTATAGTGTACAATTCAGTGATTTTTATTATATTCACAAGAGTTGTGCACTTATTACCACAGTCAGTTTTAGAACATTTTCATGACTACAAAAATAAATTCCTTATCATAATAGCCATCATCCCTCCAGCCCCTGGCAACCACCAATCTACTTTCTGTCTCTATGAATTTGCCTATTTTGAACATTTCATATAAATGGAATCATAAAATACGTGGCCTTTTTTGTATCCGGCTTTTATGTAGCATGATGTTTGCAAAGTTCATCCAATTGTAGCACGAATCAGTATTTCATTTTGTTTTATGGCTGCATAATATTCCATTGTATGAATATGTCACATTTTTTATTCATTCATCAGTTGATGGACATCTGTGTTGTTTTGCCATTTGGCTATTATGAATAATACTGCTGTGAACGTTCTTGTACAAGATTATCTATAGACAAATATTTTCATATTTCTTGGGTATGTACCTAGGAGTAGAATTCTTGTATCATATAGTAGTTCTGTGTAACTTTTTGAGGAACTGCCAGACTGTTTTCCAAAGCCATCTGTATCATTTCACATTCCTACCAATAGTAGGAATTTTTCCACATCCTCACCAACACTTGGCATTTTCTCACTTTTGATTATAGCCATCCTAATGGATATGAAGTGGTATCTCGTAGTTTTGGTTTGAATTTCCCTGATAACTAACGGTGTTGAGCATCTTTTCGTGTACTTATTGGCAATTTGTATCTTTTCCCCCCCTCTGGTTGTTTATGTGTTTGGCATTATATCTAAACCTACCGCCAAATCCAAGGTCATTTATGCCTATATTTTCTTCTAAGTTTTGTAGTTTTAACTCTTATATTTAGGTCTTTAATTCACTTTGAGTTAATTTTTGTTTGCTGTGAGGTACGGTTCCAATTTCATTCTTTTGGATGTGGATATCCTTCTTTCCCCAGTGAATTGTTTTGGCATCCTTGCTGAAATCAACTGACCGTAAACTACTGAAAAATTTTAAGCAGAGGAATGTTATGATTTCTTTTATGCTTTAAGATAATATTGGTGGCTGCTATGTAAAGAAAGTATTAGAGGGGGCAAGAGTGGATGTAGGGTGACCAGTGAGTAGGAAGTAACAATTATCCAGGCCAGAGATAAAGATGACTTGGGCCGCAGAAGATGGAGAGATAGAGATTATACTTGGGAAATAAAGTTAATGGAACTTGGGATGGCCAGGGTGGGGGCCCAGTAAAAATAGGTCAAGGATAACTCATATTTGGGTTCGGGTCAAGGATGATCTTTATATTTTGAGTTTGGGTGACTAAGTGAATGGTAGTGTCATTTACTACTACATAGATGGAGAAGCACATTTTAAGAGGGAAAATAATGAGTTTAATTTGGGATAAATTGAACTGAGGTGTCTGTGAGACTTTCAAGTGGAGATGTCCAGAAGGCAATTGGAATATGGGTCTAGACTAGAGCTTGGAGGCAAGCTTTGGGTTGGAGAGAGTGATTTGGGAGTCATGAGAATGTAAGTGAGAGTGGAAGTTATGAGAAAGTCTGAGGAGAGGTATAAGGAGTGAGAAGAGGTCCCAGGACTGAATCCTCTGGGAGGAAGAACAGGAGCCCAAGAAGAACACAGGGAAGAAATGGCTAGTGATAGATAAGGAAAACCAGGAGGAATCTATAGGAATCTGGTGGAAGGAGGGAATTTTACGGGAGGGAGGGGGAGTGATCAATAGTGTCAAATACATCACAGAGGGCCAGTAAAAATTAAGTCCCAAGAAGTGCCTGTGTATCTTTAAGGTTTACATGTCCCCACACATAGAGGTTTGTTTGTTTGTTTAATAAAAAATACCACTGTATTTTTTTTTCTTTTGTTTTTTGGCAGCTGGCTGGTATGGGGGTCTGAACCCTTGACCTTGGTTTATAACACTATGCTCTAACCAACTGAGCTAAAACTGGCCAGCCCTACTCCATACTTCTTATGGGTGACAATTTTTTTTTAATACTGTGGAACCAACAACCTTTGCATATTCTTTTTCCACAACCTAGTGCCTGAAGGTGTTGCTGGCAGTGTCTGGTGGATATTTGTTTGTGTCTTAAGTGATGCCAGTTTTCACTGACATCAGCGCTAATCTTTCCCATCTATCTATCTATCTGTGTGTGTGTGTGTGTGTGTGTATTTATTTATTTATTTTACCTTTTTTATAGATATGTGAAAGAGGCTAAAGAAGCAGCTAAGAATGGAGATCTGGAAGAAGCATTAAAACATTTCAATTTGGCAAAAGATATTTTTCCCAATGAAAAGGTGATGAGCAGAATCCAAAAAATACAGGAAGCCTTAGAGGAGTTGGCAGAACATGGAGATGACGAATTTACAGATGTGTGCAACTCTGGCCTGCTGCTTTATCGAGAATTGCACAACCAACTCTTTGAGCACCAGAAGGAAGGCGTAGCTTTCCTCTATGGCCTATATAGGAATGGAAGAAAAGGTGGTATCTTGGCAGATGATATGGGATTAGGGAAGACTGTTCAAATCATTGCTTTCCTTTCCGGTATGTTTGATGCTTCACTTGTGAGTCATGTGCTGCTGATCATGCCAACCAATCTGATTAGCACGTGGGTAAAAGAATTTGTCAAGTGGACTCCAGGAATGAGAGTCAAAACCTTTCATGGTCCTAGCAAGGATGAACGTACCAGAAACCTCAATCGGATTCAGCAAAGGAATGGCATCATTATCACTACATACCAAATGTTAATCAATAATTGGCAGCAACTTTCAAGCTTTAATGGCCAAGAGTTTGTGTGGGACTATGTCATCCTCGATGAAGCACATAAAATAAAATCCTCATCTACTAAGTCAGCAATATGTGCTCGTGTTATACCTGCAAATAATCGTCTCCTCCTCACAGGAACCCCAGTCCAGAATAATTTACAAGAACTGTGGTCCCTATTTGATTTTGCTTGTCAAGGGTCCTTGCTAGGAACATTAAAAACTTTTAAAATGGAGTATGAAAATCCTATTACTAGAGCAAGAGAGAAGGATGCTACCCCAGGGGAAAAAGCCTTGGGATTTAAAATATCTGAAAATTTGATGGAAATCATAAAACCCTATTTTCTCAGGAGGACTAAAGAAGAAGTACAGAAGAAAAAGTCAGGCAACCAAGAGGTCAGACTTAGTGAAAAGAATCCAGATGTTGATGCCAGTTGTGAAATGCCTTCCCTTTCCAGGAAAAATGATTTAATTATTTGGATACGTCTTGTTCCTTTACAAGAAGAAATATACAGGAAATTCGTGTCTTTAGATCATATCAAGGAGTTGTTAATGGAGACACGCTCACCTCTAGCTGAGCTAGGTGTCTTAAAGAAGCTGTGTGATCATCCTAGGCTGCTGTCTGCACGGGCTTGTCATTTGCTGAATCTAGGGACTGTCAAATCCTGTGCTCAAGATGGAAGTGAGGGGGAAGATTCCTCAGACGTGGACCATATTGATCAAATACCTGATGATGCATTGATGGAAGAATCTGGAAAAATGATATTCCTAATGGACCTGCTTAAGAGACTGCGAGATGAAGGGCATCAAACTCTGGTGTTTTCTCAGTCAAGACAGATTCTAAACATCATCGAACGACTCTTAAAGAATAGGTACTTTAAGACATTGCGAATCGATGGAACAATTACTCATCTTTTGGAACGAGAAAAAAGAATTAACTTATTCCAGCAAAGTAAAGATTACTCTGTTTTTCTGCTTACCACTCAAGTAGGTGGTGTTGGCTTAACATTAACTGCAGCAACTAGAGTGGTCATTTTTGATCCTAGCTGGAATCCTGCAACTGATGCTCAAGCTGTGGATAGAGTTTACCGAATTGGACAAAAAGAAAATGTTGTAGTTTATAGGCTAATCACTTGTGGGACTGTAGAGGAAAAAATATACAGAAGACAGGTTTTCAAGGACTCATTAATAAGACAAACTACTGGTGATAAGAAGAACCCTTTCCGATATTTTAGTAAACAAGAATTAAGAGAGCTCTTTACAGTCGAGGATCTTCAGAACTCTGCAACCCAGCTGCAGCTTCAGTCTCTGCATGCTGCTCAGAGGAGATCTGATAAGAAACTAGATGAACATATTGCCTACCTGCACTCTTTGGGGATAGCTGGAATCTCAGACCATGATTTGATGTACACACAAGATTTATCTGTTAAAGAAGAGCTTGATGTGATAGAAGAATCTCAGTATATTCAGGAAAGGGTTCAGAAAGCTCAATTCCTTGTTGAACTAGAGTCTCAAAATACAGAGCTTATGGAAAGACAAAGAACTGGAAATGAGGGGGCCCAGCTAAGAGAATCTGTATTTCCTTCTCAGACAAAGAAGAAATGCCCTGAATCGAATAAACCACAGCCTCAGCCTACACTGCTTACAACTACTCATCAGACCCAGGAAGAAGAAATCAGTTCCCAAATGGCAAGTGTAGTAATCATTGATAATCTGCCTGAAGAGAGTGAGAAACAAGATCTCTCCAGTATAAACGTGAACGTTACCATCCTGCAAGAAGATGGTAGGCACTCACATGAAAGTACATATGATGCTGACTCTGTAGCTACTTTACCCAAGGGGGTTGGAAGTGTAGAAGAAATTTGGACTGACTTTTTATTGGGAATGGCAAAAAGCTTTGCAACTGAAAATGAGGCTCTACAAAAAAAGGCATTACAAGAGGGGCCTGAACAAGAGGCACTGCAAGAGAATCCTCTGGGAAGTTTTAATTATTTACTTAGCAAATCAATCAAAGCTGATCTTGAGCCGAATCTAGATCAACTAAAGGATGATGAGCGTTTATGTCACTGCAGCCCCCAGCCCATTAATCCCATAACAAATGAAAATCAAAATCCAGAATCAGATGCACCTGTTATTGAAAAAGCTGATGATTTGTCAGCATCCCTTAGTGCACTGCAGGATGCTCAAGAAAATGAAGCCAAATTGGAAGAAAAACCTTTAGCATCTTCCCCGCAGTATGCATGTGATTTCAATATTTTCTTGGAAGACTCTGCACACAATGGACAAAATCTTTCCAGTCAGTGTTTGAAGCACAGTGTTGAGAAAGAAAATAGCTTTTGTGGCTCAGCAGCTAATTCCAGAGCAGAGTTTGTGCAGAGCAAAACATGTCTCAGTTTGGATTTTTCTGAGGAAGACGATGAAACAGAAGTAGTACAAGTTAATACAAAAATCAGAATTAAAGCTAGAAGGATCATCTCAGACGATGAAGATGATTCTTTTAAAGGTATTTCAAGCACAAGGTCGGTCAGCTCATCTCCCTTTCGGTTCTCATTTGTGAAACAATTTGATGCTTCAACTCCCAAAAATGACATCAGCCCACCTGGAAGGTTCTTTTCACCTAAAATACCTGATAATATAAATAAGTCTGTAAACTCTAGAAGATCTCTAGCATCTAGGAGGTCTCTTATTAATGTGGTTTTTGACCATGTGGAGGATATGGAGGAAAGACTTGACAACAGCAGTGAAGCAAAGGGTGCTAAAGATTATCTGGAAGAAGAAGCAGAGGAAGTCAGTGGCAAAACCTCAGAGTGTACAGAAGAGGATTATTCCAGAGAAATGCTGTCTTCAGAAAACAAGTCCAGCTGGTTAACCATGTCTAAGCCTAGTGCTCCAGCTCTGGAGACCTCTCCTGGTGACCCTGAGCCTTTGTCCACTGAAGAGTTGGTTGATTCTCCCCAGGATAAGGCAGTGGAAGCTATGGATGATTATGAGACCCTTGTAAGGCGTGGAAAAGAACTGAAAGAGTGCGGAAAAATACAGGAGGCCCTAAACTGCTTAGTTAAAGCGCTTGATATAAAAAGCGCAGATCCTGAAGTCATGCTGATGACCTTAAGTTTGTATAAGCAACTTAGTAACACTTGAGAATGTCTGCGCTCATGACTTTAAGTTTGTATAAGCAACTTAACACTTGAGAATGTAACCTGTTTCTACCCCCTGGCTCCCCGCCCCCAATACACATAATCTGGTATTCTGAGCACTAGGTTAGTATTTCTTCACTTGAATATTCTTGTGTTTTTTTCTTTTAGGCATACACTATAAACTTAACAGAACTATGTTCTTTCTAGAGAAGTTTTTGTAAAATTGTTCTGGCCATTTTTAATCTTACTCTGAAAGTGATCTTTTTTTTTAAATTTAAAAAATTTTAATTGACACATTGTAGTTGTACATATTTACGGGGTACAATTTGATCTTTCAGTACATATATATGTCGTATTGAAAGTGGTCACCTTTGTATATCACAGTTCAGATAAGAAAATTAAAGTTACTTTTCTCAAATGTTTTCTTTTCCATTCACTTTTTCACTGAGATGATACTGGCAAATGCACATGGAAACTCCTTAGTTTAGGCAGGAGCTTGTTACTAGTATTCCATATCTAAGACATGCTTATTAACATGCTATTTTATGTTTTCAGCTTAATGCAGCAGAAGGCTGGGATAAAGTACCTGGTGCTAGGATTCTTTATCACTGGTAGCCTGCCCTGGAGTCACTTTGCTAACCATGTAGTCATTCTTCACTCACCATCAACTGTGTTCTCTACAAACCAGGTATCTTCTTGTCTACTTTGACACACGCTATCACATTCTATCTTTGGGTTGTAGAATGAAAATAAGGTTGGTTCTCTCTCAGAAACATAAACTGCAGTATAGCACTCTGCACTCTCACCAGAAGAAGGGGAACCATCATTAATTAAGTAAGTACCTACTATGTGTCGGGTACTCTACATAGAATTCTCATTTAATCCTTACTATAATCCTTTGAGGTAGAGGGAATGTGGCATTTCCACTTTACATTTGCGGAAACTAAGGCTCACTGGGGCATGAGCTGCCCATGGTGACATAGTAAGGGGTAAAACAGATTTTTAACCCTGTATTACCTGATGAAAAGCCACTATAATACACTGAGCTGTTTTTACTTACAACACTTGTGACAAAATGTTTGGGGGTTTTCCACACCAAGCAATTCTCCAATTCTCTAATTCTCTGCTGACATCAACTGGGTGTCCTATGATTCAATTCATTTCTGACACTATCCAGAGTTAGCATCAGACACCATGTTTAAGGGCTCAGTCCCACAAGACTGCCCTGACTTCAGATGTCAGTTCCAAGCATTCAGTCCCGAGGTCACCCACAAATGAGTGGGTCCCAAACCTCTCATCCTCAGTTCAATGATTTGCTTGAACAGCTCACAGAACTCAGGAAAAGTTTACTTACTATTACCAGTTTATTATAAAGAATACAACAATACAACTGGGGCGGGGGGATGCAGAGAGCTTCCATGCCCTCTGGGCACGCCACCCTCCCAACACCTTGATGTGTTAAGCCAAACTCCATTGTTTAGGGTTATTTACTTGGCCGTTGCTGATTAACTCAATCTCCAGCCCATCTTCCCTCCCCAGAGGTTGGGAGTGGGGCTGAAAGTTCCAAAGCTTTAATCATGCCTTGGTATTTCTGGCAACCAGCTCCCAGCCTGAAGCTACCAAGGGGCCTCCAGCCATTAGTCATCTTATTAGCATACAATCATTCAGATTCCAAAGCTTTTAGGAGCTGTATGCCACGAACCTGGGATGAAACCCAAATATTTATTTTTTATTATATCACATACACACATGTAAAAGTTACTTGTGAATTAAATGTATGTACACACTACTATTTCCATGTATATTACAAAATATTACAAATAGAAGTTTGATAGAGATGAGCTGAAATTTACATAGGTTTTTCTTTTTTTAAACCAACAGTAAGACTACTGAATGCAGTTTAGGTTTTATTTGTGGTTCTTTTTGTCTCTCTGTCCTACTTGCAATGCACAGATTACTGTGTTTCACAGTCACTCAAAACAATTCTCTGTGAAGTTTGGCCATCAATTTCAGACACAGGACTGTTTGGGCCTGTTTTCAATGTTAAGAAATGGTTTTTATTCTTCTTGGTTTAACTTTGTTGCTTGGTTATGTAAAACGTTTACAGGGTTCCAAAGTCAATTTATAAGACAAGGTACATTGGTTTGTAATCCCATGGTTTATTCTTCCATTGCTTCCTTTTCAAAATAAAAGCAAATATACATATGCATTCCTATTCCCCTCCCCCCCCCTTTTCTAATATAAAAGGTGGCATACTATACATATGGTTCTGTACCTGGCCTTTTTCAGTCAGCAATATGTCCTGACAATAACTTCACAGTGATACATAGAAACCTTCCTCATCCCTCTTACTGCTGCACATAATTTCCAATTTTTTGCTTTACAAATAGTGCTGCAAAATATAGCTTTGCTCATGTAATTTCATGGTTTTGTTTTTCTTTTTGGGCGGCTGGCCAGTACAGGAATTTGAACCCTGACTTTGGTGTTACAAGGCTGTGCTCTAACCAGCTGAGCTAACCAGCCAGCCCTAATTTCATGTTTTTGAGAAGACTCCATTTTAAATTCTCACTCTCATCGTGAAACCTTTGGCTGGTCACAGCATGCCAAACCTCAGGTTTCTTATCTGTAAAATAGTAATAATAGTATCTAGCTCATAGTTCAAAACAAAACCCAGATAGTCAATAAATGTTTGCTGTTGTTTTTTTTTTTTTGTTTGTTTGTCTTTTTTCCGTGTCTGGCAATGGATCGCAACCCTCAGTGTTGCCCCCGTACCGGACCGGGGACCGGCAACGGGATCGCAAGCCTCGGCGTTGCTCCCGCGCCTCGCTCAGCCAGTGAGCGGGAGCCGGTCTGTACGTGGGATCCGAACCCTCGGACGGGAGCGCCGCCGCGCTTCCCAAGCGGCATACTATCCAGTGCGCCACCGGGCCGGCCCTGCTGTTGTTTTTTCCATTTTGTTTTAATTGGTCATAGTCCAGTTCATCATCTGGAAGGAGAGAGAGAGATGTAAATTTTTAGGTGCCTGATGACATGTTAAGTGCTCTCACAGGTTAGGAACAGATTCTGTTAAAGTGCACCAGCAGCGCTGTGCCTGGGGGATCAGGGAGGCTGTAGGACGCGTCTCGATTTTGCCCACCCAGCTGATCCTTATGGAAACCACTCCCAAATTTTCCATTCTCAACACATGGAGCTGCACAGGGTGGGCACATGATCCAGGCCTGGTCTCCCAGGGTCTCAATTGAAAGGAATAAAATTCAGCACCAGTTAAAGGAAGAGACACAAATGCAAGGCAGCTCGCTGGAGGTTTTTTATTCAGCGGGCACATCTGCTTTTATAGGGTTAGAAGAAAGCTGATAGGTTTGCTGAGGACACGGGACGTTCGGGGATTGGATGGATTGCGTTGCTAAGGGGCCAGGAGCAGGGAGCCTGTGCTGATTGGTGCGCGATTCCCGCCGGCGGGAAGAAGGCGGAAGAGAAGGGTAGCCAGCGCCATGATGGGGCGCGGCCGAAAAAGGGTTCTCATATGACCTAATATTAATGACTGGCTCAGGGATGGGTATGTGACCCAGTGCAACCAATGAGATCACTGGAGTTTACCTAGAGGCTATTAGAAGAGAGGCTCTCATTTTCCAACATGATGCTGATCTCATTAGTTGTAAGCCTGGAACTGCCAGGGGTCACCATATGGCATGGAAAGAGCAAGAAGTTAGGACTAATAGGCAGATTTCCAACACTGTCACTTGGACACTGGGAATTTCACTTAGATGAGCTGGGGGGAAAAAAATCCCTTTTCTGACCAAGCCATTTTGAATTGGGTTCTCATTTGCATCAAGAGTAGTAAAGACAGCTGGAGGATCCTGAGGCCTGAAGCTTGGTCTCTACAGGGAAAAGACTAGACATTCCAGTGGGGAGACAACCATGTGGGAAAGTCCTGAGGGAACTGTGAGAGTGAGCCTGTTTTATAGCATTAATTAGAGCAAGAGTGAGACCACTGCGGCTGACTCCCATAACATGAACCAAAACCCAGCTTCTCAACTGGAATGTTAAGCTTCAGATTCCGGGAAGGGCAAGGAGTTCTTACCTGGACAATCATCAGCCAGGTGATGTCAGGAACATGCAAATGAGTTGGTGGTAGAGTCAGAGGTGCAGCCTTCCCAGGGGCAGGTTGGGGACCCTGCCTTCCCTACCACCAAGTTCACAATAGCTAACACTGCCCACTCCCCACAGTCTGCAAGATGTCCTCACGTGCATTCTCTCCCTTCCACCACCAGGTGCAGCCTTAACCAGAATCTGCATTTTACCCCGAGGCCTCCACTTCTTTCCGTGGTCCTGGCTGTCACACTATCCCTTTGGTTTCTGAAGCCTCCTATGCTCCAGAAGTCTCTCTTTTCATGTTCCTGTTTTTGTTCAGTGCCTCTTTCTTATGCCAAGCAGCAAATGAAGCTTCACTGGGTGCCTGGGTGGTAGGTGCACTCCTACAGGGCTTCCCGAATAGTCTAGAGCTTGACTAGTCTGTCCAACTTTCCTTCCCCCATTGTATCTGCAGATACTACAGATTTCAAAATTTAGTTGGAAAAAGAGTCCAGCCTGCTAGTTTAAGCCAGTCAATTTGTGCAAGAAGCTCTCATCTGTTTTTACCAATGATAGAAGAGCTGCCACATTTTTTTTTAAAACAAAATCATTTGATGCTAACAATTGGCTTTTAACCTAAATAGGTTATTGATGGTACAGAATTTTGCTCTTACTAAAAGCAATTATTACGAACATTTTAGGGTAGTATGATTGAATATATATATATATATATTTTTTTTTTTTTTAAATATTGATATAACACTTTGTGATTCAGTTCATGGTCTGCACCTAAGTCTAGCTCAACATTTCCCTCCATGGCACAGGTGAAAGGGCGTATGTCATTGGCTGTGCCTTATACATCTTTGCTTGTCAGTCCATCCCATCAAGCATGCAAGTGTTTGTGGGAATTCAGCCAATAAATACTTCTCTTCCCTGATGTAAAACCAAAAAACTCATGCACGATTTATTTGCCAGCCAGGAGGCTTTAAGGTCCTATATCCATTTGATCTAAACAGTGAACCTTAAGTCCTAGGTATATTTATCATTACAAAAACAAAATGCTCTTGGGCCGGCCCGGTGGCGCACTGCTACAGTGCGCCGCTTGGGAGTGCGGTGGCGCTCCCGCCGAGGGTTCAGATCCCACATACAGACCGGTTCCCGCTCACTGGCTGAGTGAGGTGTGGGCGCAGCACCGAGGGTTGCGATCCCGTTGCCGGTCCCGGTCCTGTACGGGCGCGACACTGAGGGTTGCGATCCGTTGCCGGACACGAAAAAAGACAAAAAGGAAAAAAAAAAATGCTCTTTATGTTTAAGTGTGTACTATGACAATTTTGGGGGGAAAAATACATGAACATGGTAAAATATTCCAATGGCATCCAAGGTAGGGATTTTTAACCTGGGGTTCAAGGATAGAATTCAGGAATCTGTGAATTTGGATGGGAAAAAAGTTACATCTTTTCCCCCACTACATGTGGAGTATAACATTTCCTTTCATTATGAATGGTTATGATTAGCAGTACCTGAGACCTTGTCACCAATAAAAATCACACAGATTTCATAGTTATTGCAGATATCTCAAAATACCATTGATATTCATCACTACAAAACCAGTGGTTTTAGACCTACCACTAGATATTAATATACGGATAAAGAGGCACACATACACACTCACATAAATATATTACAATTTACAATTTTTGACTGCTGTATAGTTGGTGTCCTTTGTAATCCTATGTGTTTTATGCATTTAAATGTGATTGTATCCCTAGGATAAATTTCTAGACATGGAGTTGCTGGGTCAAAAGGGATATTTATAAATTTGATAGGTGTTGCCAAATTGTTCTCCGTAGAGGTAATAATTTACATTCTCAACATTACTGAATGAGTACCTATTTCCTCACACCCTCACCAACAATATGTTAAACGTTTCAAACTCTGCCAGCCTAATAGGTAAAAAGCGGGATCTCATTTGGTTTTAATTATTTTACTGTGAATGAGGTTTGTTCTTTAAACATTGAAGTTAATGAAAGAGATGAAGTCTCAAAGCAGAATGAAATGCACATACTATGTGTATCACTCTATAAATCCTTAGTTTTTTTTTTTTTTACCAGCTCCTTCAGAATCTTAGTTGCTAGTCAAAAGCTAACTTCCCAAAGGTTCACTTGGTGTCAAAGGCCCATTCCTGCCCTATTTTCTCACAGGCTAGCTATAACTCTCCTCATGCCACAGCATTTACTTTGCTTTTTCTAGTCCACCTTTCCAGCACTCTGGCTTCCTTCCTTTATGGAGACATTCACGTAACAGGCACTCAGAATCCTGGCTAAGCCACTGTCCTGAGCAGAGGACTCTAGCTAGATAGTGTCTCATGCATATAAACCTTTTCAGAATTTTCTCCAAGATTTTCAGAATTTATTGCTGTTATTTAGAGATTTGTTTTGAAAGTGGTTTTTAAAGTACAGTATTAGTTTCCTCATACCTATTACTTGAACATCTCTCTGTATCACGCTGGCATATCTGCTCACGGTAGGGAAAATTTCATGGAGGCACAACCTGGTGGGGTGCTCAGAAACTTCTAAAATGGGAAACTCAGGTCTCTAGGCAAAGTTGCCATAAAGTAAAATGTAGCTGAGGGAGAGCACAGGGTGTTAAAAGAATAATGTTAAGAATCACATAGTTGTGTTGGCCAAGTTTTATTTCTGAAGCAGTATGGTGTTTATATAATTATTCTTTACACTTTTTTGTATGTCATAAATATGGCATTTAAAATTTTTTAAATGTAGATAGAATGTTGGCCTAGAACAGTCACAATATAACCCATACCTTGAAGATGAGGAAATGATGTTTTTATGCTGACATTTCTCCCTTTAACCAGCACTTGGTAAGTGGCTGCTTAGTCTAGGACAAACAACCAAGGGAAAAACCGAGAGTCTTTTTAACTCCAACAAACATTAATTTAAAAAGAAAGGAGTTAATGTTGAATGGCTATGGTGTGCCATGTACTATGTTAAGACAATAGACCTAGGGCCGGCCCGTGGCTCACTCGGGAGAGTGCGGTGCTGATAACACCAAGGCCCCGGGTTCGGATCCCATATATGGATGGCCGGTTCGCTCACTGGCTGAGCATGGTGCTGACAACACCAAGTCAAGGGTTAAGATCCCCTTACCGGTCATCTTTTAAAAAAAAAAAAAGACAATAGACCTAAATAATATCTGTCCTGGCAGATCAGAGTTGACTAACTTATAAAACAAGTGTTGTCCAGGAACTTACGATTCTCATATACTGATCTGTCTACTGATGCCCAATATTTTCAGTTGTGTGAATAGTGCGAGCTGATATTTGGCTCCCATGAAGATGGTTCCTGAATTAATTTATGGGACATAAGAGAGTCAGATGAAGTAGTTCAGGGAGGAAAGGGAATACGGGTTAAAAGGAGTCTGTTTGACTTATCTTTGAGAACTGCTGACTGAATACCTACTGCAGTATATACTAACCTATTCTCATCCTATTTTGCACCTACGAACCCACATTGACAGAGTTCACAAAATACAAGGATTATTCAATACCTTTTAAAGAAATGAACAAAATGTGTAAAACTTATTCAGTCTCACATATGATTTTATTTTCTCCCTTCAACCATAATAATATGATATCCAAATTTTGTCTTAACCGGTGGGTCTGTAAACACAGGTTTATCCATCCCACTTACAGGCAAGGCAAATGCTGCTTCTTGAAATGGTCCCACCATGGACCCTCTGGTCATCCAACCCAAGTCGCCCTGAAAAACCCAAAAGAGGTGTGATGTCAAGTGGCCCTGAAGAGGGAACAGTTCTACTGTAGCTTGAGAGAATTTCCCAAAATAAATGCTAAGGTTACTAGGTTTATTCATCTGGGTCAAATAGTAATAGGGTCAACAAGGACAAACAAGTGGAAGAAGTCTAACCCAGAGAGAACACATAAGCACTCACAATACTGCTGGACTTTGAAGTCAGCTGTGCAAGTTTGGTCATGCCTAGGTTGACACGTAACTGACCCGTATTGAACTGTTTACAAGTTGGACATTTCTCCTTTTAAGATCTTCCAACCAAGATATGGCTAAAATTAATGGTGGAACATAGGAATAATCCTTAGTTCTGAGTTTCCTCTGTGGAGGACAGGAAAATTTAAACGGTAAGAGCAACATACCCCTTGCCTGGCTTTATCTTCACTATATTGTGCGGCCACTTCATTGAATCTCATTCCAGACTTTAACTTTTCCATGGCTTCCATGATTTTGCTGTGTTTTTCACATAGAATGTGTCTGACCTACAGGGAAAAAGTATGTTCATATAATACTTGAAGAACCAAGTGATTCCTCACAGTACAGCAGTTATGTCTGGATTACCCCCACCAGCAAAAAAACATATTAGCTTGTGGCAACTGAAAATCCTATAAGTCTGCCCAGTTGGGCAATGGCCACAAACCCATTTTCCATATCAAGACAGTATCTCAGAACCCTGATTTGGATGGAAAATGGGCACCTGGCTGTGGGAAGCTCCCCTTTTTTTTTTTTTTTTCTTTTTACCATGTACCTCAACGGTAACAGGAAGAGGAAATATGATGGTGGCTGAAATCTTTGGTCCTGGAGTCAAATCCCAACACAGGCGTATGAGGGTACTTCAAAAAGCTTGTGGAAAAATGGAATTGAAAGATAATACAAATCTTTCCATGAACTTTTTTTTTTTTTTTTTTTTTCCTTTTTACTGACCGGTAACGGGATCGCAACCCTTGGTGTTGCTCCCGCACTGCACTCAGCCAGTGAGCGGGAACCGGTCTCCACATGGGATCCGAACCCTCGGCGGGAGCGCCGCTGTGCTCCCAGGCGGCGCACTCTCCAGTGCGCCACTGGGCCGGCCCTTTCCATGAACTTTTTGAAGATCCCTTTTATGACTAGGCATTTTTAAAATTTTTAAAAAATTTTTAATTGACACATTGTAATTATACATACTTATGGGGTACAATCTGATATTTTTATACATATATATGTTGTATAATAATCTGGTTAGGGTACTTAATGTATCAGTCACCTCGAGTGTTTATTATTTCTTTGTGGTGAAAACATTCAAAAGCCTCTCCTCTATTACATAATATAAAAACATAACTGTTAACCGTAGTCACCCTACTGTGCCACAGAACACCAGAACTTATTCCTCCTATCTAATTGTAATTCTGTACCCATTGGCCAACCTCTCCCTGTTTTCCCTCCCCCCGCCCTTCCTTCCCCAGTCTCTGGTAACCACTGTTCTGCTCTCTGACCTTAGGAATGTTTTTAAACCTCCAAGTGTTTCCCTGTTTATGCACTGAGATAACAGGATTCAATCAACACTATTACTTCATCAGAATGAGGGTGATAGGAATAAAACCCCACTAGGAAATATTTCTTACCAAAAGAGGCCTAATGTTTAAAGTCACACCACAATTCAACACTTTGAAAAAGTATCAGATGTTGAATATTAAGAATACTCAACCCTACAGTAGCATTCAAATTTGACTTATGTTGACATAAAGCCATGGTTTTTAAAAAAACAATATCCTTAAAAATGACTTTGTCAAAATATCTGTTTTGCAGGATTTCCCATTTCTCATTCAAACAGAATCATCATGTTTCACATTGTAAGTGATACATTGGGGTAGAGGCTAAAGATGTCTCCCTTATAATTTAGAGACAAGCAAACCAAGGTTGTTCTTAGGGTTAACTACTGAAATTGGAGTTGAGGGAGTGTCATAGGCCCACAGGAGTAACTTCCTGTCTAGTGGAGTTACACAGGAGATATGAGCATATCAAAGGAAAGAATGTGTCAAAAAACAGGGCTCAGAGAGGCAAACTTCTACAGAATGTGTCCAGCACTGTCAGGAGGCAGGGATAAACAATCTGGACACTAGAGAGATAGCCTGTTGGGGGACAAGAATGGTTCATCAGACCTCAACTTGGCCTAGCAAAAACAGCTTCTGGACTGCCTCCTCCTTTCTGCTTCCACACCCACAAAGCAACCTTCTGATTTGGTTACTGGGAAAGTACACACAACATTCATGATCACAGAAAGGAGATGCCATCTACCATTTTATGAATGAATAAACAAGTATTCTGGTTTAGGCAGCGTGACATGATGAGTCTGTAGTACTTGTCCAGTTTGCAAGTATGATCGACCAACTAGCAACTGTGTGTCTGCCCCTTGGAAGAGAGCCAAGCTACCAGAAAGAGTCTGGGAGTGATGAGCATGGAGGGAGTAGTTGAAGCTGTGGGAGTTAATGAGATTACCCAGGGAGGCTATGGAGAATGAGAACAGGAGGAAAGAAGCCTAAAGACAACCTTGGAGACTATCAATGTTTAAGCAGCAGCAAAGAAGTTCAAAAAGCATAATAAAAAGGAAAGGCCAAATAGGAGAGAAAGGTGTGTTAACAGAAACCAAGGCAGGAGAAAATTTCAAGGAGAAAATGGTCAACAGGGTTAAGTGCTGCAGAGAGATCAGGGAAGATATACAATCAATTCAGTCAATAAAAAAACAGTAAATCAATAACCTCAGCAAAAGGAGTGTCAGGAGAGTGGTAAGTGCGGAGGCCGGAACGTGGTAGGCTGACTGAGGAAGCAACGGGAAGTGGGAGAGTAACGCCTGATGTGGGGCACACTCTCAACTAGTTGACTTCGAAAAGGAGAAAGGGTCTGCCTAGAGGAAAAGGATTTTAAAGATTCCTGAACATATTTTCAGAATGAAGGGACAGATCCAGTAAAGAGGGAAGGGTTGAAGACAGAACAAAGAAGGGAGGCAGGAGAAAAATGAAGCAGCAAGGTCTGCTGTTTAGAACACTGAAAAACGAGCCTTAAAGAAGCAAGATGAGGAGACAGAAGGGAGGTGCAGGTGAAGAGAACTTTGTTGATAGGGGGCTGAAGGCCAAGGAGTTCCTGACTATAGGTCTGGTTTCCATTTTCTTGTGAAAATAATAAAAAATTGAAAAGTTATCGAGTACTTAATATTTGCGAGGCACTGTGCTAAGTGAATTATTTCACTAAACCCTCACACCAACCCTGGGAGACTAGATCAGTGTCTCTCAACCCTGGCAGTACATTAGAATCACTTCCAGAGCTTCTAAAAAAGATATGAAGCTCCAGGCCCCACTCCCAGAGGTTCTGATGTAGTTGGCATGGGGTGAGACTCCAGGCGTTGATACTTTTTTACAAGTGCTCCAGGTGAATCTAGTGTACATCCAGGATTGAGAACCACTGGACAAAGTTATCTGCTGACTAACTGGAGCAGGGTGGTGGATGGTTTGAGGTGAGTGGTTTGCTGAGCAGTACTGACAGCCTAGCTAAGGTTAGAGACTGGTATTTGTGGCCCCAATCCCCAAGGCTGTGTGACTCTCCAGTCGAGCCCAGCAGTTCTGGCTTTAAGTGCAAAGAAAGTTGACCATTGGATTGATCCTGACTTGTAGTTTGGCAGGTGGATGCAGCAAAATGACCAAAAGGAAAAGGAGTCGGGGCTCCTCAATCCAGTGATCAAGCCATTAGATCTAATTTCCAGTTTACAGGAAATACAGGGGACAGGAGAACAAACATGAAGCCTGGGAGAAAGTGGGGAGAACAGGTGGGCTCAAGGGCCTGGAGTCTGTGAGAAGAACAGAACAGGACTGGGGGAGGCGGGAAGTGAAGGGGAAGGAGGGAAGCTGTGGTCAGCAGGTGGGTCTCAGAATCTGAACAGCTCATAGTGACACAAGGACAAGGTGTGGGCACAGGGGTGGGGTCTGAAGCAGAATGTCAGGGCGTGGAAGGAGCTGAGACCCTAAAAGGCTGGAGGATCCCAGGGTCCCTCCCCTATTGGGGCTTTCAAAAACATTAGAAACAACCCAACTGTCCTTCAGCAGGTGAATGGTTAAACATACCATGGCACTTCCACATCGTGGAACATGAGGACTACTCAGCAACACAAAGGAACAAACACTACTGATACACACAACAACTTGAATGAAATCTCCAGAGAATTATGCTGAGTGAAAAAGGCCAATCCCAAAAGGTTACATACTATATGATTCCATCCATAAAACATTTTTGAAATTGTAAAATTATACAAATGGAGAACTAATTAGTGGCTGCCATGGGTGAAGAAGAGGGTAGAGGTAGGGGCAGGAGGGAGGTGGGTGCAGTTATAAAAGGGCAACAGGAAGGATCCTTGGGGTGATGGAACTGTTCTGTATATTGACTGTATCAATGTCAATTTCCTGGTTGTGCTATTGTACTATAGTTTTAACGTGTTACTTTTGGGAGAAATTGGGTAAAAGGCACATGTATTTCTTACAACTGCATGTGAATCCACAGTTATCTCAAAATAAAAAGCTTAATCAAAAATTTAATCCTAATCTACTTTCCTGTCTAATTACATGCCACTCCTTTCCAAATACCTCATTTATTGCCACACTGAACTTATTTTTTTCCAGAGAGAGTAAGATGCCACTTTAAAGCCATATGCAGTGCTGAAGTCTCTTAGATTAGGTTCTTGTAAAAGTCAGCACATTAGGTGAAAATTGCATACAGCCAAAATTGCCCTAGAACATTCCTTATGAAGATATCATACTGGAGACCAACACATCAGCTCTCATTAAGCCCAACATAGCCAGACACCCCCACTCTCAGGTTGTAACAATGACCACTTCTTCATTTGAACACCAGATGAAGTAGCTAGGTTGTATTTAGGGACCATGTTTTATGAAAAATTATCTTCGGACACCAGATTCCCACATCACATGGTTGGATGTTCATACAAGAATGGAGGACAACTACAGAAAAGCAGATCCATGGCTCTCCTCTCATTCTCTCTAGGGCACAGGTTCATGGAGTAGAAAGGTGGGCAGAATGGCTCACACTGTTTACATTCTCTCTCTCTTTTTGGGTGCATGGTTGAATTTATATGGTGTAATTCCACTGCTATGCTTATCGTACAGCAATTAAATTTATTTCTTTACCTAACTGCTCCCAACTAAACTGTAATAACAGAGAACATCTCTTACTTTTTTTTAAATCCCCAGAGCCTGATACACTGCTTAGCATAGGGCAGATGTCACTGAATCCTTACTGAATGAATCAATGAAAGTATAGGCTTCCATATCCTGACTAAAACGTGGATATCACCTTATTACATAGTACTAAGTAGTATAGTTCTATTTGCAGATTAAATTTTCTTACAGCAGACACTCACTCCTCTGGCACTAGGATACATACTTCAAGTCATTATTTGCTAATTGTCTTACCACCACCACCCCCCCCCATTTTCATAGTCAAAACCCTGGCTTGTTAGCTCACCAGTGGGGATCTTTCTAATGAGACCTGCACCCTTGCCTGTTTATTCAGCAGAGGTGTCTTTTAGCACTTACATAAGCTCCTAGTTTTGTAAAATACTTTGTCCTGAGAAATAACTCATTTACTTACTGGGAAGATACAACTTAATACAAAAATTATGAAGAAATTCTGGATGTCTGGGAAAGCATTTGAGAAAGCATTTAAAAGGAATTACTTTTCATAAATGAGACTGGCCTACATTTTCCAATTTTGTTATCTTGATTTTACATCAGTGTGTTAGGTTAGCCTCTTAGAATGAGTTAAGCATACTGTCTCTTACGTGTACCAATGTGTATATGTTATTTACATTTAACATCGGAAAAAAAAGGAACTAGTAACTCACCTTTACCGCACTGCCTCCACCTTTGGGACCCTGAGCCTTCTTGTCAGCACTGTCACTCCCACAGGCTGCTCCCCCTTTAGAGAGACATGACAGGTACTCATTTAAACTGCATCTTGATATTTACAGAAAGGTCCAACAGACAACACAAGTTGATACTTCTATCATGGCATCAAGCTTCAAAAGGGTACTCTGCCAGACACTTTACTACAGCAAGCTAAGTTAATCTGTGACTCACCTCTCTTAAAACAGGAGATTTGTGCCCTACATAAACGCTTCTCAGAAAACGGATACAGAAATGAGTGTGCTAATGGGTGGATGAGAGCTCCAGAAGCCTGGTCCGGAGAATGTAGACCCAATTTCAAATCCTGCTTTCTAAGGGCAAACCCCTAAGCTCTTGTAAAATTTCTAATATGCACTGCAACTATGTATTTGAGCACTCACAATTCCAATAAGCAAAATCTCCAAAAATATATTTTAAATAAAGATCAAATTTCCCACTATCCATATTTGGCTAAAGAATACATTCACATTGCCTATTGATGTTTTCCTAAGAAAAGTCATTGATATTCAGATTAACAACTACTGGCAGCATCTTACATTTTACTACTATGTCCTTTTACTACTGTGTTAACTTCTGTGTCAATGGCAACATACTTACTGTTAGAGACTGATGTTCCTATGAACTATAGCTGGATTAAATGCTCAGTTCAATGAACATTTCCTAAGTAACTACTAAGTTCTAGGTATTTGGGGTACAAAGATGAAAAAGCCATGTACCTTCTTTCAGGGCACTCATTTCTAGTGAGGAAGGCAGATCATTTCAGGAGAATGTTGTAGGTGCAAAGAGCCGGTTATGCACAGGGGGCTATGGAAGCACAGAGGAACATTTTGGCCAGCCAGGGAAGGTTTCCTGATGAGTAGTTGCTGACTAGCTAAAGAAGGATGAGAAGACACTCCAGAATGGAGGAAACAACACCGTACGTGTAGAAAATTGTATGATGAAGCCAAATCTGAGGTTGGAGTGCTGTCAGACGAGCCTGCCTGGGGGAGGTCAGGGGATGGGGGCCTTTGGGCCCCCATTAAGAACTTGGAATTTACCCTAGAAGTAATAGGGAGCCCTTGAAAAGTTTTAAGCAGGAGACACTATCTTACTTGTCTTAGTCTCTCTAATGCCTAGCACAGTTCCTGACATACAAAAGATGTTCAATAAATTTTCAAGTAAACTGAAAACCCAAAATACTGACCACCAAAAGCCTAAGAAAATGTTCCTGCCAAAGGAATTTTATTAAAGCAAACTCTTAACTGGGTTTGCTGTATATTCACTTGTGAGCAATGATGACCTCCAGCCATCCCATCCTCTCCCCTCCCGGGTGCTGTCGTCTTCTGACTGCCATCTCACTGCCTTTTACTGAAGACTCTGGCGTCAGCTTTGGGCTTCCTCTCCACCCTCGCTCCTGCCATCATCTTGCCTGATCTCACCATTTACCTCATCTCACAGTTTGAGATCTCCCTGCCAAATGCCCATTCTCACTACTCCAGGCCACCTGCCCCAGGGGCACATGACAGAATCATGTCACTCAAAACTAGTAGTTCAGTCTCTGGCTACAACCTCCTGTCCTTCCAGCTTTCTTGTGCCTCATTCTCACAACAATGGCTCTTTGACTTCACAGAACATTCTCCCCCCCACCCCCCTCTGCCCTCAGTCCCCATCCTGCTGAGTTCCTCGACACTGCGAGACTTCTCCTTCCTTTCCCAGTCTGGACCCCATGCCTAATCATCTGAACTGCGTTCCCACTGGCACCCTCAATTCCCTCGTGTTGCTATCCTATTATAATTGCCCAACAAATCCTCAACCCTGGCTCAAGGCTACACCTAGCTCTTTTCAATCCTATATTGTGCCAGTTGCATGGTGCTAGGTAAATAATGACTGTGCAGATCATGTCTTCTACAAATTCATGGCCTTCAATCTCAGTCAGGCTCCTAGCCCTGAGGGTAGTCCTTTTATTTGAATTTCATTCCCTCTCCCATTACCCTGTTCGAAACTGCTACCACTCTTCTCAAGACCCCTACTGAGTCCCTTGCCCCTCAGTCTTAAAAATACCCTTGCATTCTTCTTTACTAAGAAATTGAGGCCATTAAGCATGACCTCCCTAACTCTGCCCTCTCCCTAGTGCCACACCCATCTTGTCTCTTTGTCTATGACCTCAAGCATAAGGTGTCCCTTCTCCTATTCAAAGGTCAACTACTCCACCTCAGTCCTAGACCCCATCTTCTCCTAAATGTTACTTCTTTTTAACTTTACCTCTCTTACTCTACTGGATCCTTCACTTGGAGTCACTCCCAAGTTTTCCCCTTTCTGAAGAAACAAACAAAACTTTCTCTTCTCTGTCCTCCTCTATCTACCATCCAATTTCCATGCTTCTTCCATCAGTCCACACTGATCATCTCCAGTTTAATCACTTCCCTGTCAGTCCTCTAGTCACAATCTGCCTTTCTCACTCCACTGAAACCACTCTTGCCTAAGGCAACCTTTAATTTCCAAATCCAAACAGTATTGTTTTGGGTCCTCATCTTATCTGCCGCTTTGCTGTGCATGACAGACTATACCTTGTGTCTTTGCAAGTTTCTGGTCTCTCCAGACTCTGGGACATCATTCTTCACTCGCTGTTATCTGTTTGCCTCTTTGCCTGCCCCAGGATCACATCCTCTGCCCTCTGCTCTTCTTATTCTATAAACTTTCCATGGCTAATCTCATACACTCTCACAGCCTCAACTACCCATTTTAGGAGTCATATGTTTAGGAGTCAGTGACTCCTAAAACCTGCATATGTAGCCTAGGCCTCCCCCTCAAACTTCAGACTCAAATATCCAGTCACTTCCTGACCACATCTCCACTTAGATGTCCCACGGACACCTCAGAGTCAATATATCTAAAAGCGAACTCATCAGGGCCAACCCATGGCTCACTTGGGAGTGTGGTGCTGACAACACCAAGTCAAGGGTTAAGATCCCCTTACCGGTCATCTTTTTTAAAAAAATAAAAATAAAAGCAAACTCATCAACCTCATCCCAGCTCCTCATGTATTCTCTATGTTAGCTTGCAGCATCAGCATCAAGTTAGAAACCCATACAGAAAAGTGAGAATGATTGTTGACCCCCTCCATGCCCAATCCAATAAATCACAAAGCCCTGACTATTTCACATTCTGAATATTTATAGGATCTTTTTCTCTCTTCTCAGTTCCCACAGCTACTACTTTAGTTCAGGCCACCGTCATCTCTCACCAGGACTACCACAACAATCTCCTTACAGGTTTTTCTGACCCTTAACTAACCTTCTTAGAATCCCATCATTTGGTCTTTGTTTATGTCTTCATTCTCACCACTTGCCATTCTGGCTTGAGTTTCTGCTCCAGCAACACTATACCGTATATACCATGCTGTTTCTCACCTCAGTGCTTTTGCTGCTGGACCCTGTCAGGAATGCTTTGACCTATCTCCACTGCCAATCTTGACCTGCCTAACTCATCTCCAGGAAGCCTTCCCTTCCGTTCCCCGACTAGATAAAGCACTTCCTCAGTTTCCGTATTATCCCATACGCATCTCTCAACACTGCATTATGTACAGTGCTTTATGATATCTGTTTTTATCTTCCTCACTACTTCGGGAGCTCCTTAAGACCAAGATCCGTGTCTTATTTTTATATCCTCAGAGCCACTTATGCCTGACACACATCTGTTCAGTGGCTTGAATGAGTCTTTCCCCGATGGTGGGCATGTCATTCTGCAAGCATTAAAAGGAACCTTGAGGACCGTAATCAATCTGGACTTCCTATTGATGGTTTTTGACAAGATTAAATTTTACAGCTCTAATAATCCCTTGAAATAGCAGCCTCAAATCATCGCTTCCAAGGAACCATCCCCATCAGCTCCACGCGGACGGTCCCTGCACCGCACCCCAATATGTTCCTACAACCCCAGTAGGCCCCCTCGCGCACTTATCCTAAGCCTCATCAGAGGAACTCCACACATAATGGATGGCCGCTCTGTGGGGTCACTGGCCATCTGCTGCCTCCGTCCAGGGTCCCGGGGATTGCCTGTTTTTTCCCTCCCCTCGCTCCTCACCCGCCCCCATTCTCCCTGATTGCTCTAACCGTTCTACCTTTCCCCCCTTTTCCAGAACCACTTTTTCCTTTGGGCGGCATCTTCGAAACTTGCAGTTGAACTCCCAACCGCTCCGGTTGCCGAACAAAGCACCTTCAGGCCCCACGGGCATGTCCTAAACAATGCCTGAAAGCGGCATCGCAATTGACGGTTCTTATTTGCAGCTCTGGAAGCAGGCATAGCTTGGGGCAGACCCGGTCCTTTACATCTCGGACCAATGGGGCTGAAAATGCCTGACCAATAAGAAACTTGGGACCAGATAGAGGGAGACGAAAGTAGGGTTGGGGCGGGAAACCCCGCCTCTGCGCCTTTTGTTACTTCTTTCACACTTCCTTATTTGCGCCCGCTCCCCCGCCCTGCTCGCTTCCCCGCCCCTTTGCTCGTGGCATGCGCAGTTGGAGCTGCGGGCCTCTGTAGTCCCTCGGCGCCGGCTCTGGCCAGTCCCGTGCGGCCACCAGACAAAAGGAAAGCGGGAAGAGTCATGGTGGCAGTCACCTTCTGCCGTCCCCTCCTACACATAGGTTTGCCTTCCCTAGAGGTTTTTCGTTTTTTAATTTCATTTTGCAGATGTAGCTGATTGGGTTCAAAAGGTAATTTTTAAAAAAGCTCTTCCTCTTGCAGAACTTTGTCACCGTCATGAAGAAACATTGGGAGCATTCTCAATGCTCCTCAGTAGGGTACTGCTTAAATAAATAATGTTTCAACAACACAAAAGGATATTATGAGTCATTTAAAATAACGATTGAAAGACTGTGTGTGCGGATAGGGGAAATGGCCTTGCAGAAGGGTACAGTCCAAAATACAGAATATGATTCTTTTTTGGGTGCGGCTGGCCAGTATGGCGATCCAAGCCCTTGACCTTGGTATTATCAGCACCCCGCTCTAACCAATTGGGCTAACCGGCCAGCCCCTAGAATATGATTCATTTTTGGAAAACGGTATACAGTGTACTATATAATACATGCATGTAAAGGACAGGAAGGCTATCTAGGAAAACGTGACCAGTGATGCTAGTACATACAGGTCGTTGTGTAGGTTTCTGTGTATTTTCCAAAATTTCTATAACAGTGCAGTGTAATGTAGTAACTAAAAGCCTGGATTCGGGAGCCAGATCGGCTGGTTTCAAATCCCTGCTCCACCATCTGTCTACTAGCTCTGTGACCTTCAGGAAGTTACCTCACCTCTCTGGCTCAGTTTCATCATCTGTGAAATGGAGTTGATAATAGTACCTACTTATAGGATGTTAAGAGAATTAAAGAAGTTCATATTTGTAAAGCACGTAAAACAATGGCTAGCTCATAGTTAGCGTTAGCTCAAGATGAATGATTTTTGAATTTGTGTCCCCATACTTTTTCTTCCCTTACCCACAACCCCTCCCCCAGTAATTTGTATATAATGTCAGGGCTTTTCTTCTACTCCATGAGATAGCTGTCCCAGCTTGCCATTGCTAGCCGGAACATATAGGTCCTCCAGCTCAGAGTTTAGTTTGTGGATATAGCCTTGCTGCGCTTGAGGATGCTTCTTGCCCAAACCAGGGGATGAGGCATTTGTGAGATTGTGCCCATCCCCACTCAGACATAACAAGGAGCCCCCTTAATGTTGCACTGCTGCGACTTCTGGGCACACCTTTGGCACTCCTTGTTTCTGTGGAGAATGCATCCAATGCTGAGGTGATCACTGCTCTCCCACTTTTGAGTAGGCCCCGCCCCTGTACTGACTTTCCTGGAGGTGGGGGAGTGGGGGTTGACAATGACAGTGTGGCCTCATGTTCATTGAATCACCCACGGCCAGGAGGCCCAGGAGGCACCTTTACTTGTGGTTTTTCATTGGGAAGAGCCTTTCCCGTGACCACTGGCTATGGCAGTCATGGAGTAGAAATGAAGCAAACTAGAGTTCAGATCCCACAGAAGAGCCACCATGAACGGCTGATGTACCTGGCAATGCTTAGTGCCTGGAAGTTGTGAGAGCTCCATGCATTCCAGCAGACGATAACAGCAACAATGATAATAAGCAAACCTGCGTAGCTGGCTGAATTTGCTCAAAGCAGTACCTAAAGGCCAATGGCTCCGAGGAGAAAAGGATGGGCATAGTTGGCTGGTGCTTTCAAGGTCAAAAGCAGTTTAGGACAGTTAGATACAAAATTATGTGCAATCTCAACTACACGTTTTACATCACAAAAAGATGGGGCAGGAAATATAAAATTTTAAGTTTTCTGGGATGTGAATTTATATCTAACAATCATTTTCTCCTGTTTATATTATATTTTGTTATATCATTTGGCGTGTGTTTTTTTTTTTTCTCATAAATTTTTTATTTCTAAAGTTGTCTATTGCTTTTTATTTTACTATTTTTTGGGGGGGTTCTTTATTTTTTTAAATCTACTTATGTTTGCTTTAATTTTCTTTTTTTAAATTTTATTTTGTCAATATACAATGTGGTTGATTATTGTGGCCCATTACTGAAACCTCCCTCCCGACAATGTCCTTTCTGTTTGCTTGTCATATCAACTTCAAGAAATTGCAATTGTTATGTCTTCTTCCCTGCCCCCGGATTTTTTTTTTTTGTCTGTGTGAATTTATTTATTTATTTTTATCTCCCACCAATAAGTGAGAACATGTGGTATTTCTCTTTCTG